GGGCGGAGGATGGAGAGAGACACTTTTACTTGGCTCTAGTCCTGTTTGCAGGCAAGTGCTTATGCTCAGTTGGGAGATGACAGTGCAGAGCAGGAGGGATGGAGAAGAGGATGGTATTGCTTTTAGCTGCCATCCTTATGCTCTCCAAGTGCTTGTGAAATGCAGCCCAATGTGCTTTCTTTCATCAGGTTTGGTGGTGAGCTCCAACATAGGAATTCTGATGTGATAACTACATTTTTGTGTCTGTCTTCTTCTAGGATGAGTCCAAACCACCGTACTCTTACGCTCAGCTAATTGTGCAGGCTATATCTTCAGCACAGGACAGACAGTTAACACTAAGTGGGATCTATGCCCACATTACCAAGCATTATCCATATTACAGGACTGCTGACAAAGGCTGGCAGGTGAGTTCCCGAGCTTTTAAACTACTTTGTCAGGGCTTATCTTCCACAAAATACATTTAATAAAGATTTGGGGCACTGGGAATAGAACTGCTTTGACTATTCCCAGGGTGAATTTGTTTAACGTAAGCTAAATAGTTTGCTTGTGGGTGATTAGTTTTTGGAAGATTGTTCTCGAGCTGTATTGGGTGTTACGGTTGGGCCCTCTGGTTGTTTTTGTACCCCTGTTATCTCTCTGCCCTGTCATCTGTCAAGTGTGCAGTGATCTCTCTTCGATTTTTTGTTTGTTTCTTGTTCCTTCATGTCCTTGCTATCAGCAGTCGCTCCCCTGCTCAGAGCCTGTTACTTGAATCTTGCTTAATCCGTCATACTTTGTGTCTCTCTTTGGAGACATCTGTCCAAACAGAAGATGCCCAGCCTGAAACTGATGGCCCAGGTTTTAATCATAACTCCTTAAATCATCGCAGGTGTTTTCTTTCCCCCAGCATATTGACTGTGTTGCCTGAGTAACAGCTTGCAATGTGAGAGTCTCAGAACAGGGACCTGGGGAACCTCAATCTGTGCCTTCCTTGTGGCACTAATGGAGACCTGACCATTTTCGTAGGAGAGCTGGGAGGCAGGTAACACAGGCTGAGGCTTAAGTGCTCACTCGAGGGCTGCTTTCAAAGGCTCAAACCTCCGCTCCACCTGCTCCCCGCGCCAGCACTGCCCCTCTGGAATGGGTGTTGTCCTTTGGATAGAATACACCCATGCAGCTGGAAAGCCTCTTGGAGCCGCTGAGTTTATTGTGTGCAACTGGCAGGAGCAGGATGGCTCGGTGCGCTTGGAGTGCACTTGGAATAAATACCTGCTGCCTCCCTGCCTTTTCCCTGCAGTTCTAATTAGCTGTGGAATTCACTTCCTGCCTTAACCTGCTCGGCAGAGCCGCTCTGTGAACCAGTTGCTGCATCCTGCTTCAAAGCCTGCTGCCTTTCAGTGCAGGGAGAAGGTGCCTTTTTTTTTTTTTTTCTCCTTACCTTTAGCATTGCAAGGCTTTGTAAAGAGCTCCTGTTGTCAAAAGCTGCTACAAAAGCCCTTGTTTTATGTTGAAAGTGGAAGACACAATGAGTTTATGCACACCTGAGCCTTCTGTGTGGCCCAGCAGCCAGCACAACATGGGTTTTTGCAATGAAAAGGCTAATTAGTCCTATCCACATCTCCAGAGCTGTGCAGTGCTAGACTGGTGCCACATAAATAATGGATTCCTTTTGGAGATAGCTATCCGAAGGCTCATAGGCAGCTTGCATTAGGATTGCCATGAGGTGCAGCGTCCTTCAGGGCATGTTCACACACCCCGGTGATGGCTTAGCAGGTAAGCAGTTAGCCCAGAATAGAATTTGTCTTTTGGGAGAGTTTTGACATGGTTTCCAGTTCTTTCCCCCTGCATCAGCAGCAGATTTTCCTCCGTGTTCCCACAGCGTAGCTGCTTCTGGCTCTAGAGCTAGGTCCAAGTGATCATACAGGTACGAAGCAAACCCATCTTCCTGCACAGTTAGCAGAAACTCTGTGTCCAACTTATTTCCCTAGGTTTTCTCTTGCAGCTCCCCTGTGGCTTTGGAGCTGGGCGAGCAACTTGCTTCCATCTTCAACACAGATTGTGGCAGGTGGCATTTTATTTTCCCCGGCTGCGTGGTGAATCCTGTTTGTTACATGCTTTCTCGTGGCAAAATAATCACTCGATTCCTCTGCTTCCTGCAGAATTCCATTCGGCACAACCTCTCCTTGAACCGTTACTTCATTAAAGTCCCACGCTCTCAGGAGGAGCCTGGAAAGGGCTCCTTCTGGCGAATTGACCCTGCCTCTGAAGCCAAACTAGTAGAGCAGGCCTTTAGAAAACGAAGGCAAAGAGGAGTGTCCTGCTTCCGAACACCTTTTGGGCCTCTCTCCTCCAGGTAACTTCAGCTTCTTCTCATCTCACTGCCAAATTCATAGCAAAGAAAACAAACAAAAACCTCTCCTGAAGTACAGTGAACAAACTTGACTTCTGTTTATAGTTTTGACTGATGATATAGTTGGATAGCCGTGAGGCGTAATCGGAAAACTGACTTCTGACTTCTTAAGCTTTAAAAAAGATACACCATGGAACCAAACGGCCATAACACACCAAATAGTGTATGTGTTTTGGCATAATTTCAAAGAAGCTCGGAACAGTTATCACTAGAGAAAATATTTTGGGATGCCAGTCTTTCATTTCAGGAAAGCTGGGCTTAGATGTGGCTGAGATCACAGTGGAAATGTGTGTTGGGTTATTTGAGACACTGTCTCATGGGGAGCGTTGTGTTCGTTGTGGCTGTGCATGGTAGAGCAGTGGGGGGTTCCATGCAGCCCCTGCCATCCATGGTACCTCAGTGAAAGAGGAGCAGGGGACAGTGACTTCCTCTGTGCCCTGTCGCTGTGGGTTGGGACTTGCAATCGAACCCTGGAGCCGTTTCACGTATCCCTCCTCCCACACCTCCCTTCCTTTCCATCCCCTTGAAAACTGGACAAACGAGATCTCTTCAGCAGACCCCTTCCTCAGCCTTGTTAATCCTTGAGGAAGTGTTGGATTCATCATCTATTGGTAGCAACCAAGTTGCAGGAGGGAGAAACTTTGTACACGTGTGTGGGGCCTGACACTTGTGTGCGCTTGCATTCTCTTCCTCTCCCTCCCCAGTACTCTCAACACTGACAAAGATTCTTTGAGGGTGGCCTGAAATTTTAAAATTCAAACACGAGGCACTTTTAGATTCTCTATCCATGGTGGAAATCTGAAACCTTAAGCGTGCTCTGAAGGGTCCAGTTTCTTTCAGCAGTGAATAACGCAGGTGCATTTGGTGCCAGAGTGCATGTGCAAGGTTATTCTGTACCTTTCACCTCCTCCTGACAAGGCTGTAGTGGGTAATGCAGAAAAATGGCTGCCTTCCTCCTCAGAGGATCCTGTGCTGGGGATAACTTGTTCTCTGCTGCTGTCTTGTGGCCAAAAAGCATCTACATTTGCCAACAGTACGTTTTGGTGTTGCAGGAGCGCTCCAGCCTCCCCTACTCACCCTGGCCTGCTGTCCCCTCACTCTAGTGGCCTACAGACTCCAGAGTGCCTGTCGCGGGAGGGCTCGCCCATTCCACACGACCACGACTTTGGGTCAAAATTAGCTTCAGTTCCAGAGTATCGGTATTCACAAAGTGCACCTGGTGAGTAGTTCTCATTCCACAGAGAAGTGCTTCATTCCACAAGCGCAATTCTGAACATATTGCTGGCCAGCCCGTTCATTACAGGGGGACATCAGTCTTCCCTCTTCCACTTTATTGTTGGGAGACAGGTGACACTTCAGGCTGTTTCTTCTTTGCTAGTATTTGCTCAGGGGGGAGGAGATAAAAGAACTTCTAGAGGAATATGAGTTTGCCTTAAACTAGCTGGATTTAGGGAGCTAACAGCAGACTAACCACAGCAGAACATAGCAGCTCCCTCTTGTTTCTTAAATTTCTTGATAAAATGAACTTGTCTGCCCAGAGCTCTATGGTCCTGTGGTCGGGGACTTGGTCATTTGTTACACCCTGGTTACTGTCTGTTTGTCAGCTATTCTGTAACTAAACTTGTGCGTAGGATCCTCCCATTACAAATGGAAGGCAAAACTCATTAGGTAAAACCTCATATTTCTGTGCATATTGTATTGTTTAAAAAATGTGCTTAGGCTGCAAGGTTGTGGGATTTTTTTGTTTGCTTCTAGATTTTTTTGGTAAGTTGGGAAATGTGAGATTGAAGTAGCATTTTTGGCACCTCTTGCCAGTGCTGCAGCACTGAGTATTACCAATGAGAACCGCATAGTTCTAAGTGGAGACAAGTGGAGGCCTTTTTGCATCTCCCACTGATATTTGTCTCTTGCATTTTAGGATCTCCGGTCAGTGCCCAGCCAGTGATTATGGCTGTTCCTCCCCGGCCATCTACTCTGGTGGCAAAACCAGTCGCCTACATGCCAGCATCAATAGTGACTTCTCAGCAGCCTTCGTGTCACGCAATCCACGTAGTTCAGCAAGCTCCCACTGTTACGATGGTCCGAGTTGTGACCTCCTCTGCAAACTCTGCGAACGGATACATCCTCACGAATCAGGGCACCGCAGGAGGAGCTCATGAAGCTGCAGGAGCAGTGCTGGACTTAGCTGGTGACCACCGAGGTAGCTTTTCACCTCCCTCGCTTGACTAGTGTAGTTTGAACGGGCCTTAGGGGAGGAGGGGAAGGTCAAACAGCAGTTTCATTTGCTGAGTGGTTAGTCCTCGATAAAAGGTGTCTCCAGATGAAAAATAAACCAAGTAAGAGCTCGGCTAGTTAATCTTTCCATGAATAGTCAGGAAAAAATGTGCTGCTTTGTCCCCTGTGGCAGATAGAGGACACACACATCTTGTTAAAGGCTGAAATAACATGTAGTGCTTCAAATACAAATATTAACCCACATGCTCATATTCTGTCCATGACTTGGTCTGTTGGGTACACTGTGAAAGTGTGCACTTATCTGGCCAGCAGAGATGGCATGGGAAAAGCTGCAACTCTGCTTCAGGATCACCATGGCAATAAATGGCTGCCATTCCCTTCCATGGGCCTGGTTTCCTGGGGGGAAAGGGTGTGCTGCTGAAAGTGGGAGCTGTGCCCCATTGGAGAAATCTTCAAAAGCCAGTAACAACAAAGGCCCCTTTATTCCTAAGCTGGAAATTCCAGCCTGGGGGGATTTATTGAGTTGAACTATAAAAAATACTTTATCTTCATGTCGTCCAGACAATACATTGTCTGCTGGATGTTTCAGAATGGCATAGTGCTACAGGACAGATGCATATGTTGCCCCAGCAGTACAGCAAGACTAGTTATTGCTGTTATGTGGGCAGCAGCAATGACTCTTCTCTAGGGGGATGGAGAAATTAAAAAAGACATTTCCCTA